GGGAGACAGTGATTTGACTCAGTAATTTGAATCACTATCCTGAATCGATTCAGCCAAATTGATTTGGAGATTCAGCCGAATTGAACAGGCCCCATCCCCCACTCTCCCAGTGCCGTCAATGGCTGCCCCGCCCTGCCCCAGCATCCCAGACCTTTAAAAAAAAAAAAAGAAAAAGAAGCAGCCCCGCGTGCACTGGCTCCTGCACTGCATCAGGGGGCTCTGCCATGAGCCCCAGAGGCCCTGATGGCCGCTGCAGCAGCTGGTAAAGCACAGGGCTTTAGTGCTGGGATGCTGGGGCTGGGCAGGGGAGTGAGAGCAGTCAGGGGCATTCAGGGGGCTGGGGGAGTGGGTGGAGGATGGAGCCTGGAGGAGGTCCCTCCATGGTCCCTTCCCCCCTCCTCCAGTCCATGCTTACCAGAGTGGAACCTGGGTTCACCTACCTGCAGTGGCGAGCAGGGACTGCCCGAATCTCCGAATCTTTTCCAGATCAATTCAGAGGCTTCAAATCAATTCAGAGCTTTGAATTGGTCCCCTGATTCGATTAGAATTCGGCCACCAAATCATGCCGAATCTTCTCCAAATCGAATCAGCAACTGAAACTTTGCACAGCCCTAGTTATCACTAGAGCACACTCCCAAAAGAATACATTTACAAGCCCATAAAACTATAGCTGGGGCAAGTGTCAGAATACAATGGATGAAATCCTGCCCCAGAGTGGGAGAGGGGTGGGGAAGGGTCAGTGATTGTTTACCATAAGCTTTAGGGAGCCAGGATTTCACCCCAAAAATTTACTTAATGGGTTTATGGTAATCATAAATGAATTCACAATGATGTCCAGCTACTTTTTTAAGCAAGATTTTTGGTGGGTGTTTATAGGCAAATTTACAGCCTAGGCTCTATTTTCTTCTCAGTAAGCGTTCATATGGCTCACTAAAACCCTATAAGAATTCTACTTACACATATATGAGATCAATGTTACTTACAGACATGTAAAATTAGTTTCAGGTATGTCTATTTTTCTTTTTAATAAAGACCGTTTCATTTATTTTACTGGCTAGTATTACTGTATTTAAAGATTTTGGG